AAAAAGAGCATGCCAAACCAACCATACAGAGAGCAAGAAGCTGTGTTTTCTTAACCCAGTGAGCAAAAAAGTACAAGGGGATGATAGGAAAGGACAAAAAGTAATATTGCATTGAAAAAGGTGGGATGGTACTATGAATTTTATGAGACAAATAAAATATTTATGTTCTATGTATTCTTGAAAGTTATATATAGTTATATTTTCCTATAACTATATAAAAGAAATAGGGTGATTTTGTTTAGAAAAAATTCCATCAAATCAGTATCACCTAATAAATATATAATATAAAAACAATATGCCAGAATCTGTGAAGAGTTCTTCTTCATTATGTGTTCCTTATTTCAATTAATGGCATCGCCATCCACCTCTTCACTCATGGCAGGATCCTCCCTTTCTCTCAACTCCCCATACATCCCATCAACACCAATTCTAACATTTCACCTTTACCTTGTACATACTGTACCTCAATCTCCCTCCCTTATCACCCATACTTATCTACCCCATGCTCTAACCCAGAAGCCTTTTGAGGGAATGGAACATGGTCATTTCACTATGGATCTCCTAATCTGAAAGGTGGTGGAAGGAGGGCCCACATCCCGCGGGTTTCTGCAGACTATGAGGAGTGGGCCGTCCCCTATAGCATGTCTCAGGTGGAGGAAACACCTGTGAGGTGGGCTTGCAGGTGAGAAGGTGTGGAGCTCTGAGCTGGAATCAGAAATGCAGGAGGGTGGCTGCAGGAGCTGTAAGAGAAAAGCTCCTTCTCCCCACATCACTCACTATTCCTTCTGGATGGCAGCTGTACAACCAAACTGGTCAAGAACTTGAGCTCTAGGATCACAAAGAATTGGCTCTGATACCTAATGACTGTGTGACCTTGGGCAAGTCATTTAGCATCTTACTTGTAAAATGAAACTAATGATAGCACTAAACAGGAGAGGGCAGTGTAGTGAAATAATGCTTGTAAAGTGCTCTACACATAACTGCCTATAGTGGGCGCTCCATTACCATTAGCTATTCCTGCTCTTTCCTCACCATTCTGGCTCAGCTAACACCCAATGAGGGGCTGAAACTCAGAGATAAGTTTGAGAATTTATCACCACCATCTCCTCTGAGTTCTGACTCAGATAAGACAGACATGCAGGGCAGGTAGAGACTTGAGGAATGAAAATGAAGAGGTAAGCTAGCAAGACACTCTGCCCTATCTCTTTCCTTAATTCTTAGACTCTTTTAACTTTTCTTTTCCTCCTCGTCCTCCTTCTCCTCCTCATTTTTTTACTGCCCATGCCCACCATTTTTCCTGCATGAACAGTAGAAATACTGGTAACATAAAATTTGGAGTATGTCAGGCCTTAATTCAAATTTTAATTTGGTCCAGGAAAAATTATACCTATGTTGCTGAGCTCTATTTTCAAGCTCAATTATAAAATAGGACATATATGCCTAAAGATGAAGTCATTAATGTTCCCAGAACCCCTAGCACAGTGTGACACAATGACACAATGACACAATGAAGGCACTTAGCAATGTTGTTGCTGATCTCCAGGAATAGAAAGTCCCGGTCATTTTTGTTTCTCCCCTTATGGACCATCACCCAACCCCATTTTTCTCCCATTGGGGAATATGATGGTTAATTTATATGTCAACCATGATAACCAGTTCCTTAGACAGTCTAATTGTGCCATAAAAATATTTTAGATGTGATTAACATTTATCATCAGTAGGCTTGAAGTAAAGCAGATTGCCCTCCATAATGTGGGTGAAGGCCTTAAGAGCAAACAGATTTCCCTTGAGGTTTCCCCAAGAAGAAGTAATTCTGCTTCCGGACTGCAACATAGAAACTCTACCTGAGTTTCCAGCTTTTAGCGTTAAGGCTGCAGCATCACCTTTTACATGAATCTCCGGCCTGTCAGCTTACTCTACAAATGTTTAATTTCCCAGCCCCCACAATCCCATAAGCCAATTCCTTAAAATAAATCTTCACCTGTCTATTTCCTGTTGGTTCCACTTCTCTGGAGAACCCTAATATAAGGCACTACTCTGACTTGGCCTCACCACTAGAGGGCAGAGACCCAGAACCCATTAAAAGGCCAGCTCAGATAGAAATCACTTTTTTGTTTCTCCTTTTCAAGCAATTTGCCATGGAATGGGGTACATCCATCTTGCTCATTCTCCTTAGCTTCTTCCTCCCCTGTGGCTGAAACCATGTCCTGCCTATCAGAGCTGATTAAAAGGCTGGGCCCTCTGTCTACCTTCAGCCACTCTCTGGAGTGCTGGAGGATTAGAGGGCAGTGTGCTTCATCATCCTTATGTCTTAGTGACTATACAAATCAATCCAGAAAACCTTGGACATTGAGGGGTGATGTACACTGGGGAGGCAGGAAGCCAGCTTTGATATAAAGCTAATAATTCCAACAACTTAAGAGATGCCAAGCCCAGCTTTGGAAAGTTCTCAGCATTGGGTTTGAGGTTAAAACCGCAGCTAAAATCTAGAATTAAAAGTTTGTTAAAATTTAAAAAAACAAAGCCACAGCTAATAACAAAGTGTTACTCAGCTATTCTTTGCTGGGACTGCATGGTGAGAGGTAATTGGTCCAGGGCAATAGTCCAAGAGCCCCTGGTCAAACACTATATTAATACCATCAAAATCTCACACAGCTTTTAACATCTGCTGAGTCAGCACATCACTGCTGGTGTGATTAATCATCCCTTAGGTACATCTGCCTTGCCTTTTTAAAATTATTATTATTCCTTCCTCATCTCTCTTCCCTGTTTTCCTTTCCTTCTCACCCTTTTCCTCTTTAATTCTCATATTCTTTCCCTTTTCTCTCTTTCCTCGCCTTTGCTTTTTCAGCTTCCCCCCCTCTCTCCACCATTATTCATTGAAGACCACCGGGAGAAGCAAGGAGACTCATCCTCTTCCAGGCCCTGTCCCCTCCGTACAGCCACACAGGGGAGACGGGGTTAAGGTAAGCATCAGGAGCGGCTCTGAGCAAAAGGCCCAGAGGGCCCCCACCAGGACAGCAGTCGGCAGGTAGAAGGTGGGCAGCTTTGGCATACTTCTCCTGAGTCAATTAGTGCAGAGCAGTGGCTAAGAGTATAGGTTGTGATGCTGGACTTGGGTTTTAATCTTAGTTTCCCTAATTTCTAGATACATTACTTGGGGCAGGTGATTTAACTACTCAGGGCCTTAGTGTCCTCACCTATAACATGAGAACAGTAATATGACCTACCTCCTAGGGTTACTGTGAGGACTAAAGGGGTAAACAAACACCTGTTAAGTGCTTAGAACACTGCCTAGCACGTGGCAGATACCAAAGAAATGCTCGCTAGCTCTTCTCAGTGCCATTGGGAAACTGAGGCAGCTTACAGGAATCAAAACCTACCTCTCACCTTGGCCCTCTCTGAAATCCAAGAGAAACCTGGCCTTGTGAGAGAGGGCAAGAGGGAAGTACCCTCAAGGCTGGGGGAGAGGGGGTATAGGTTCCAGGCAATGTCTAATGGAACTTTCAATGCATTGATGCGCAGAAAAAGTATGCTATGGGTTAAACAGGACGCTGGCACTGGCCTGAGACTCTAACCATCTAACAAAGGGTATAACACAGGCATCTATATTCCAAACTCCAAATGTCCACCTTACCAACAATCGTTTGGGTTTTTAGATAGGTATAACATGGGCAACTCCAATAGGCACGTAAGTCCCTACAAAATTTAAATCTCAGATTTAGTATGTCATGAACGTTTCTCACAGTTGAAGTGTGCTACATGTGAACAAGGCTCAGAGGCACTGTCTTACACATGGGACTCAGCGACAGGTTATTTGTCCCTTTCATTGTTTCTTTGATTTTTCTTGATAATTCGTTCTGATCTTACAATTAGCCAGTTCTCTTCCCTCTGTGTTTAGCTTGAGTCCTGAATATGTGGATAGAAAACTTGGACCATTTTCATACTGAAGCTTGACGATGGCTTCTAGGGGCCATTCTTTTGAGAGTTAACCCTACCAGACCGCTGTACCAATTTTTCGGTAATTTCCAAATCTGCCGCTATACCGCTGTACCTAATTTTCGGTACTTTGCCTAGACCTATTTTCTACAATGTCTCCAAGTTCCATCTTATTCTAACCACTTGTTTGCATGTAACTAACATTTTTCTATATCATGTTGGTTTTTTCTCTTTAATACTCAGGAGCCCAGGTATAGGGGACAGTTAGGTTCAGGGCCTCAGGTCTGGTAGGGTTAAGGTCCTTGGCTCCTAATGGGAAGGTTTTGTACATGCTGGTAAATGATGGTTAATGATGGAGTAAGAGTCAGTGCAGATGTGAAAAAAGACTCTGAATCTAATTTTAAATATTCACAAATATTGTGGCTTGGGGAGAGGAGAAGAACACGAGTTTTATCTTTTAGGACACCAAGCTCCTCAGAGGTGACTAAGGAAGATAAGGAAGCCAGTGCTGCACTTTAGGGGGAAATGTCATCATTGGCCCTCCTCCATTTGAAAGACGAGGTAGAGAAATAGTGAGAAATTGTAAGAGGGCTGCATTGACCACATTTTCCCGCATGGGGGGGGGGCACCTAAAAGGTCACAGGGGGGTCACTTCTAGGACGGAAAAGTGAGGACATCAGGTGGAGGAAGGCTCTAAGGAGAAACCTAGTAAGACTTGCTTCTCCTTCCCCTTTTGCTCACATTTCACCTTACACAACAGCAGTTTATCACATTGCAAATGAATTGTTTGCATTTCTCATAGACAGCAAGCTCCTGGAAGGCAGGCAAGGGCTCCTGGATTTCATGCTGCAACACCTGGCACCTACTCAAATCACAGAAGACATTCAGTGTGTATGTTCCTTGAGTGATTTAGTAAAGAAATTCATCAAACACTTGAACTTCATACTAGAGGAAAGAGGTTTGAAATGTAATTTTGATGGCATAGAAGACATAGGGATAATGTGTCATTTAAAAATAATAATAAGTCCTACTTTTTTAAAAAAAGGAATAAGGCATCTTACCTGGTGACTGCTGGTCTCAGATACTTTTACATCCAGAGACCCTGCCAGGACAGCATACCAGTTTGTGCCAATATCACCTTGACGAAACACTGGAAAAGAAACAGTCATGTCACTATGCCGGTTTTACCATATGACCTGATAGTTTCTCACTGATTATTATATCAGTAAGTGAGACTTGAACTTAGCTGAGCTTATGACTCTTTCTCTACTTGTTCTCATAAGAACATGACATATTTTTCTTTTTCTCATCTATCAACAATGCTATATCCTATTTACTCAATATTCTATGAAATGGAATTCTATTTAAACGTAACTTTCATGTTTACAGAGCAGTAATAAGGAATAATAACCTGATATGTCCTTTGAATTTAAGAAGAATGATGTTCTATGAAATTTATCTTAAAGATACTTTATTATATTATGATTCTTGGAAAATTATTATTCTAGATAGGGTACATATTAACAAGGTTATTTGACTCAATAAAACCAGACCACTACCCCAATTTCTTAAGTCTATTTCTATTAAAAGCAAAGTGTTTTCTAGGATTGAATGTCTCCTTTGAAGCTAAGCAATGAATGACTTAAAAAATTAAAATCTGCTTTAAAAGTTTTAATGATTGTATTATCACTGTCTGTTTTCCTGTTATTTTTTGTTTGCTCCTGCTTCTTTTTTTAAATAAATTCACTACTTTAGGCATTAGGAGTTAAGTGCTCCTTGGAAATGACTCTCATCAGGAATTTCTGAACCTGATTTTGCTTTACTTTTGTACTCTTAGAGAGGAAACCTTTAGATATTTAGATAGAACCTTATTTCCCATATCATGTTAAGACCAGTACTTGGGAAAGTCATTCTGAAACACTGGTTCAAAAATTTCATACAGCTCTAGCCAGTGTGGTTCAGTTGATTGGAGCACCACCCCTGCACCGGAAGGTTGCTGGTTTGATTCCCAATCAGAGCACATACCTAGGTTTTGGGTTTGATCCCTCGATGTATCTCTCTCTTATCTCTCTCTTCTCTCTCTCTCTCTCTCTCTCTCTCTCTCTCTCTCTCTCTCTCTCTCTCTCTCTCTCTCTCTCTCTCTCTCCCTCCCTCCCTTCTTCTAAAATAAATAAGATAAAATCAATAAAGTTCTTTTTAAAAATTTTTCATATAAACCCAACAATCCTTTTAAATATTCTACCTAAATAACCAGATGGAATGATCTGATATTTTAACATTCTTTTCATAGTTAAAGTCAGAGATCTAGTGACTCAATGAGAAAGCTCATGAGGACTCCGTAGGACAGCTGGATTCTGGCAAGGCCAGTGCTCCCGGCATAACAGCAAGCCCCTGGGAGCCATACTTAATGTGACAGACAAGCTGCTCTAAACTCCCTAAGGCAGTGGTTCTCAACCTTCTGGCCCTTTAAAACAGTTCCTCATGTTGTGATCCCCAACCATAAAATTATTTTTGTTGCTACTTCATAACTGTAATTTTGCTACTGTTATGAATCGTAATGTAAATATCTGATATGCAGGATGGTCTTAGGCGACCCCTGTGAAAGGGTCGTTCGACTGCCAAAGGGGTCACGACCCACAGGTTGAGAACCGCTGCCCTAAGGCATGCTGTGGAAAGGCGAAGAATGGCATCCCACCAAGTGCAATGATAAGCTTCAGATGGGGAACTGATGAGTTTACAGCTGGCCTCTCCAATAACTGCTGTTCCTAGCCTTTGCAAGTGATTTATATTAGAGTTAGGGCTTTAACTTCTGGCTCCAAAAGACATTTTTAGTTGCCAATCAAATTCACATTATATCTCATATTAGATTCATTTTGAAAATGGCTTTAAGCCTGGCTGGTGGGGCTCAGTGGCTGAGCATTGACAGACCCATGAACCAAGAGGTCACGGTTCGATTCCCGGTCAGGGCACAATGCCTGGGTTGCAGGCTTGATCCCCAGTAGGAAGCATGCAGGAGGCAGCCAATCAATGATTCTCTCTCATCATTGATGTTTCTATCTCTCTTCCCTTCTCCCTTCCTCTTTCTGAAATCAATTTTAAAAACATATTGAAAATGGCTTTAAGAAACAGAAAATAGAGTTTCATTCCCAAGAGAGTGAAATTTCTGATATTAATAATATGTTTGAAAACAGTATGTTTGAATGATTGTTTTAATAGAAGTGTGACTGTGTGTGTGTGTGTGTGTGTGTGTGTGTGTGTGTACACATGGGAAAACATCTTTAAGGATACACACAAAGTGTTAGTAATCTCTGGGTTTGGGAATTGCAGGTGATTTTTATTTTCTTTGTCTTCTAAATTTTCTAGAATGATGTTGTGACAGACCCTGTTGGTTTCCCATCCAGAATCATGCCCTCCCTTTCTCTTCTCTAACTGAACATTATATATATAAGAATGATATACAAGTTTCCACCCTCCTTCAAGGGCCAAGTGCTCAGAGCAAGAGTTTCTTTCCTAGCTCCAATGGGGTAATAAGGAGATTGGTCTAATTCAATCATGGCAGTCCCATTATCTTTGTGGTGATTGGTTTAGACATGGGCTTGTGATACAATTCTAGCCAATACAGGAAGTCTGCTGTGGGACTTGTGAAAAAGAGTCACAAGAAATAGTCCTTTAGCAGGATGATTTGCATTAGCATGTAATGCTTCCAATGGCAGCAGCTATCTTAGATCCATTTGGGACAAGTCTAAGGACAAAGGCCAACACCTGAGGATATACAGCAAAAACCAACAAACAAAAAGATGGGAGGGACCTGGGAGTTTAATAATGTCATTGAGCCAACCCTGAAGCCATCCTACCTCAAGACTTCTGGCATGTGAGTAATTGATTTTTCCTCTTACACAAGTAATTGATTATTCAAGCCAGTTGGATGGGAGTGTTTTGTTATAGCATCATAAAGCATCCAACAAATGGAAAAGCATTAATTTTTTAATGAGAAAATACTTTTATAAAAATGCAGCTAACTATCTTGTTTTACTCTCCCTGCCCCTTATTCACACCTGAAATAGACAATATCACTGAGGTTATTTCAAAACATTACTATTAGCATTAGTTAAGTGACCTTTTATCTTTATTTGAGATCCTACCAACTATTGTGTTTTTGGGGTTAGAGAAAATAATTATTTGAATTTCTAAGGATACAGATGAATTATGTGAATCAGTATATTCTTCCAGCTCCATCTGGATATGGGCTGACCTGGAAGAGCCATTTACATGCTGTGAACAAAGGAGTTAAGGAAACGTCTACATGAAACTGAATCAACAAAGTAGAGGGAAATGTCAATCTAATATCTTCGGGTGAAGCTCAAATATTTGGCACATAAATACCCCATGTGCTATCTATCCGCACAGAATAACCACAAATAAACATAAACTGGACATAAAAGTATACTATTAGAGTTGAATTTCTTACATGTTATTCCTTTTTCCAGATTCTCATAATAACCACATAAACAAATCTGATGAAGGAGATTTGGGTGAAATTTCTCAAAAGCTTTAACTTCCTTCAGCCGTGTGAAGATTATATCCACATCTTCACTGGATCGCTCCAATGGTCTATAAAGGGGAGACAATGCACAAAAAGCTGTGTTAGCAAGGATTTACTTGAGTCAACATGCATTATTTTTGTTATATTAAAGTTCACCCAACTATCCTAATTATAAGTTTTTCATTGCAAATGTTTATCTAACCTATCCCCATCACAGGTATTTCTAAGCTTTCCTCAACTATTCACCTTAAATCATGTTTATTGCAGATGGTGTGGCATTGCAATTTATGATAAAAAATATATACTTGCCCGGCTGGTGTATCTCAGTGGTTGAGCATCAACCTATGAATCAGGAGGTTGTGGCTCAGGGGGAGGGGGGGTGTGCATGCAGGAGGCAGCCAATCAATGATTCTCTCTCATCATTGATGTTTCTCTCTCTCTCCCTCTCCATTCCTCTCCGAAATCAATTATATATATATATATACACACACACACACACACACACACATACATACACACACACACACACATACATCTATACGTATATACATATATACATATACAGTGGGGCCTTGACTTACGAGTTTAATTCGTTCCGTATGTATACATACATACATACATACATATATACACACATACATACATATTTGGTCTTTGTCCACTGCTTCTAGTACATAGTTCCTAAAACTTATAATTTCCTATGTAAGAGCCATAGGGGCATCTTTTGTTATATTTGGTCTTTTGTCCTCAGTTCCTGAAATGCTTCAGAACCATGAAGGTGGAATGGGGGCCTTGTTACTCATAACCAGGCCCTTTCAACTACAACTGAGTTTACATTAATGAGGTGACTTTTGCAAAGCCCCTAAATAACCTAAGGATGGTAGCTGGTTGTCAGGGGAACCACCAAGTGATTAGAGGGTTGGAACTTTCAGCCCTACTTCCCAGCCTCCGGGGAGGGGGTGGAGGCTGAAGATTGAGTTCAATCACCAAAGCCAATGATTCAATCAGCCATGCCGATATAATAAAGCCTCCATAAAAATCCTTGAACTACTGGGTTTGGAGAGCTTCCAGCTTTCTGGACATGTGGAAATTTGGGGAGAGTGGTGCGCACAAAAAGAACAAGGAAGCTCGTGCCCTTCCTCATACCTTGCTTTATGCACCTCTTCCATCTGGATTTTCCTGAATTATATCCTTTTATTAAAAAATTGGTAATTTTTTTAAATAAAAAAATGAAGTAAACTGTTTTTTTCTGAGCTCTGTGAGCCACTGCAGCGAATTAATCAAACCCGAGGAGGACGTGGTGGAAACCTCTTTGATTTATGGCCCATTGGTCAGAAGCACACGTGACAACCTGGTCTTGTGATTGGCAACTAAAGAGTGAGAGTGGAGGGTACTTTTGTGGGATCTAAGGCTACCTTCAGTTAGACAGAGTCGGAATTGACTTCAGTTAAATTGCAGGACACCTAGCTGGTGTTTCAGAATTTCTCATCGGGTGTCTAAACATTGAAACCATAGACACAATGAAAAGCAATGTTATCTGTCATTGCTTTTATTGGGTACTTCAGGGAGTAGGGAAAATTCCACTCAGCTATTAATATCTTACCTACCCAACCTCTGTAATCTAACCCTGGGGATAATCCTTCTATTGCCCTTCTTCTCTTATGAATCCATAATTTCTGAATGCCACATAGATTCTTATCTCCACAGAGGTTATGCCTGGCGCTTCCTTTAGAGATCCCACAGCACCCAGTAGAGGGTCAAGCATGTCCATTGGAGTGATTTTCTACCGTGACCTCAAACTGAATTCATCTTCTCTCTCACATCTGCTACTGCACCTGCACTCCTTATTTCCGTGCATGAAGCAGGCTCAACCTCCCTCATCACATCCAGGTAATTCTACCCGCTCAGTGTCTCTCAAATCTGCCCCCTCCTCTTACCCCTACTGTCACTGCCTCCGTTGCATGTGAATGAAGGGCATGTGAAGCCTGTGTTAGGACATGAAGCTGAACAGCATGGCAGTCCTTTCCCAGGAGGCTAGAGAGCTGGGTTCCATCTAATAGTCAGCAGAAGTATTTTTAGCAGTAGTGACATGATTGGATGTGCATTTTGGAAAGATCACCTTGACTGCAAGTAGAGGCAGATGGGAGAGAGGAAAGGCCAGCCACCAAGAGGCCAGTTAGGAAGCTCTCGCAGTGTATCAGAATGATGAGGTGGGTTTCTCTAATTATAACTCATTCCTTTCCACTCCCCTTCCATAGCTGGTCCCCTAAGTAAACGCAAGTAAAAGCTCTAATGTCAGAGAAGTTATTTTTCTTAGCCTGACATCTGTCACCTAGGGCCCATTCTTTAAATCACTTTTTAAAATTTTCACTTTTAAACATGTTCAGACAATTTACAAAAAAGAATCATTTACAAAAGAAGATACTGGTAGGCAGGACTCGAAGGTGACCAGCAATGGCCCACACCCTTGTATAATCCCCTTGAACATGGACAGAAGCTGTAATTTGCTTTTAGTCAGAAGAACATGGAATAAGTGGAGCTATATCACTCCCGTGATTATGTTAGGTATATGACAAAGGTAAAGAGATTTCACAGGTGTAATTAAGACCCCTTGTACAGCACGGGAAATATAGTAAATAATACTGTAATAACTATATCTGGTGACAGACGGGTACTGGAAATATTGGGGGGAACACTTTGTAAAGTATATGATTGTTTAACTACTATGCTGCCCACCTGAAAGCAATACAAAAATAATAGTGAATGTACAATGTAACTGAAAAAAATATAAAAAATTGTTTTAATTGTGTAAGATCCCTAATCAGTTGACCTTAGTGAATCAAAAGGGAAACTTCTTTCCCGGGTGGGCCTGACCTAATCCAGTGAGTCCTTTGAAAGAGGATGGAAGAAGTGGGAGGTTCCTCTGCTGGCCTTGAAGAAGGAAGCTGCCATGTTGCAAGGAGGCCACAGAGCCAGGATGTGTGAGGTCCCTGGCTGGCAGCCAGCAAGAAAACAGGGACCCCAGGTCTAAAACTTCAGGGAACTTCATTCTACCACCAATCATGTGGGCTTGGGAGAGGTCTCCAAGCCCCAGAAAGGAATACCAAGTCAACGCCTTAATTTCTGTCTTTAAGACTCTGAGCAGAAGACTCAGACAAGCCATGCTCAGGCTCCTGCCCATGGGAAGGCAAGATGGTAAGTGTATGCTGTTCTGGGCCACTCAGTTTGTGGTCATTTGTTACACAGCAGTAGAAAACTAATGCAGACATGAAGTTATTTTCTCATACTGACTCACTTGCTTGTGGGTTCACTGCCCTCCTGGAACTTTTCCTTACAATATTCTCTCTCATCTCTGAAATCCAACTGATAGCATTTTTTTGGCATCAACTTCATTATGTGTTATTATTTCACATTTCTTGCATGCAAATATAGGGTGTCCCAAAAGATGTATACACACACTTTGAATAATTATAAAGGCAGTGTTTAAAATACACTTCATTTTCTCAAATTTGAGGTATCAGTTGTTAAAGTGTATACACATTTTTGGGGGACACCCTATATTGTCTTCTTGGAGATACTCTTATTCATCTATTCATTCATTCAGTAAATACTATTAGGTTTTATTTTTATAAACCACTGAAATCACTGTTTTCCTGCTTTTAGTTTTTTTTCCTCAGGTTTCTTCAGCTCTTTCTCTCAGCTGACTGATGAGGGGGTGGCCCTTCCCACAGCAAAGTGCTTGCAAATATTGATTATCATATACCTAAACAGCAGGTCATCTAAGGGGAGATATTTCTGTTGATTTTATGGTTATTGTATATTTTCCCCATGCTTACGTGTTATTTTGTGTTCTGTTATTACTGAGTGCTAAGTCCTGTAGAAGCTCTGAGGGCCCTCATGGGACAATGGACACCAACACCCAACTGTCAGGCCTGTGGGGGTGCGGGAAGTAGGCAAAAAGGAAAGGGAAAGTGAGAGTCGGACTGTTCTCTGCCCGGCTGCCTCTCCATGGCCATGAACTCGGCCAAGAAGACACAACAAGAATAGACTTAACAGCCGAAGCCGGTTTGGCTCAGTGGATAGAGCATCGGCCTGCGGACTGGAAGGTCCCAGGTTCGATTCCGGTCGGGGGCATGTGCCTGGGTTGCGGGCACATCTCCAGTGGGGGATATGCAGGAGGCGGCTGATCGATGTTTCTCTCTCATCGATGTTTCTGACTCTCTATCTCTCTCCCTTCCTCTCTGTAAAAAATCAATAAAATATATTTAAAAAAAAAAAAAAGAATAGACTTAACAGCACTGTCTTCTTGAGGAATGTATGTAATGCTCAATTTCCTCAACTACTTCCCTTGTCGTTTTTAAATTTTAATTTCAATTGTAGCTGACAGATAACATTATTTTAGTTTAGAATGTATTTTATAAATTTCAATGTCTTTTGAAGATCAGTAAATTAATTTCATGTTAACTAAATATATTTGCATTAAAATGACTTCACAGTTTGTTCGTTTTCATTTTTTTTTTTGAGAAAGAGACATGAGAGAAAGAGATATATGATTTGTAGTTCCACTTATTTATGTATTTATTGGTTGATTCTTGTATGTGCCCTGACGAGGGATAGAACTCGCAAGTTTGTCCATTTTGTTTTAGCAGTAACTTAGTGTAATAAAGAGCTAGTCCCTTCCCCTAATGAACAGTTGAATCTGGGATAATACATATGAATTCTATAAATTATAAAAGGCTAAAGAAATTATTACTAGTACCATCATCTTCATCATCATCATTATTAGCCACAAAGATATTTTAAAATAAGTGTCTAACAAAAGCAATGATTAAAGTTCTTCAAAACATACTAGAATTCTCATGTGCCTTTTGAAGACTTTATAGATAGGTGTGCATGGATGTTTTTCTCTATTATAACAACAGTAAGATCTCAAACACTATGTATTTGACAATCTTGGCCTTTTTGTAACACTATTAACTTTTCAAAGGGCTTTGAAATTTTTTATCAACCTGTTAAGTGAAGCAGGTTTTATGAACCTAATTTTAAATGCAGAAACATTTGATGCAGA